AAAGAGAATTAGCAACTTCAACATCTTCAACCTCTGCTTTCTGCATAGGTAGAAACCTCAGCTGCAATATTGAGAAAGAAGAAATTATTGTACTGTAACCTGGAATCCTTTTTCACATGGTTTGAGACTGACATTACACAATCTCAGGCAAGGACAATCAGAAGGCAGAAACACTCATCTTCTTCAGGGAAAACCTTGCACAACCTCACCCACCCCAAAAAACATGGTTCCTAATGGGAAGTTGTGGCTGATATATAAACAGACAGTGAACCTGGGGAATCCAGTGGAACAGGGCTCATTTATGTCAGGAAAGAATGAAGGTGGGTTTTTTTGTTTAACACTCCCAGATGATTTCTGAGTATTTAGAATGTTATACAATGGTATGTAATGTAGAAAAATAATGGTTTTAGCAGAGTGGAGTCACTAATGACTATGGAACAAGTTCCCTCCCTTGGAATCTCTTGTATTTTAGAGAGAAACAAAGTTTCTGAAAATGTTTGTTTTCAAAAAGTCTCATACCACTTATAGGACTCATCCCAGACTAGGAAACAAAGGATCAAAAAAAGCCTGCCCTCCATGCCAGACTTTCAAACACCCACAGTAATTTACAAGCTCAGGTGTAAATTTCTCTACTTCCACTAGTTTTTTCACATGCTAGTTACAGACTAAAATTTTTGCTCCTGAGCAGAAAGCTCTTGTCTATTGTGAACAGACCAGGAGAACCAGAGCCAAGCATGCGTGTGATACTCTACAAATAATAAATAGAAAAGACAATAAAATGGCAAGACAATTCTATTGCAAGACCTGTCACTGACTCAGCAGGTTTTTAAACTTGCACATAGTCCTTTTTTATAGATGAGCAGGGTTGTTTATAGTGTAGCTAATAACACTTCATTTCAAGTACTACTTTAAAACACTTGAGTAAGAGATGTTTCATCAAAAGTGATTTGCTCACCATATTTATCACCTAACAGTGTAGCTGAGCACAATGTGCTGCTTGAGGGACAGCCAGAAGACAGATCACAGTAGGATGTGCCTTGGTCATGTCAGAGGTGGTCTGGCAGGAGAGTAGGGACTAGAGTAGCAGAGGATGCAGTGGTTCAGAAATGAAGAAGCTGAGCAGATTTGTATGAAGAATTTTCCCCTAAACGTCCCACATTGTGCATGAGGTTGGCAAATTCTGCTAATTCCTGATTTTCAGGAACTTTTAAAAATAACTGTTTAATACTAAGTTGAATGGAAACTATAAAAATGTATATAAACAAAAATAAAGCCAATTAAAAAAATTCTGTAAGGGATCTAAGCAAGGGAACAGAGAAAAGGAGAACCAATCTTTCACAAACTTAAAAATTAAAAGTGTGATTATTTTTATTTTTTTTTACCTCTCTCAGTGAAAGCTTGATCTCCTCTCTCCTGGATCCTGCTAAACAGCTCTCCTCCTTCCATGCTGAAACAAAGAACACAAAAAAACCCCACCTTATATGAGCAGAAACAATCAAATTAACACCTGCATCCATATCATCACACAGAACCATGGCAAGGAGACATTACAGGCTTCTTATGGTCAATCCTTCCCAAACATCACGCTCACTTGAATCAATGTACAAAACCAGTCTCATACGGAATAAACAAAAATACCAAGGAGTTTTGATGCTTTCAGTCTAATATACCCTGTCAAAAGGTTGGGAAGTCAGATGCACTGGGAGGCTGACAGTAATCTTGTTTTATGTAAAGTTTAGAGATGAAGAAAAAACAAAGGAGGAAGCACAGATACTGAAAAGGATTATTAATTTGTCCTTGGTGCAGAAGACAATAACTGTAGTATTACAGACCAAGGAGAGAACAGAAGTTAAGAGTCAAAATAATAGCAAAAAGGATGTCAGATCATAGATAGGATTTACACCTGAATTTGGCAGCCAGTCACAATCAAAGTGCATTGTATTTGTAGAGACCTATCTGTCAAGATTGTATTAATTAGTCCAGGCTTTAATGAGGACAAATGTCATGGAGTACAAGGACACATTATTTTCTGGTTAAGGTTCCTCACTCTTCCATCATACAAGATGGCTGGAGGAGGTATACATTTCCCTACCCATTCCATAAAGACAACAAAAGGCTTGCTATGCAAACTACAATTGTGCTGCTGGGAAAGCTCACTTGACTCTCAACTAACCCAAAACATTCTCCCACTCCCTCCACCCTCTCAAAGAGCAAAGCTTGGTGGAGGGATGCTGCTGGTCCATACCATTCCATGACAATGAGGAGGCATCTCTTTCCATGATGTATATTCTCATAAACATCCAGGATATGGACGATGTGGGGACACCCTGAAGCTCTCCAATGATATTCTACTTCCTGACGGGCTTTTGGGTTGTCATACAGGAGCTGTAAAGAAACAGGGGAGAGCAATGTCAATGAGTCAGCATCACTCTGCTTTAAATGGGCACCTACATGCATTTGAGTCCAAAGATGGTGGCAAAGGCTACTTTGAGCACTTTCTCCAGCCAAAGGATGGGAAGCCATCACAAGACTTTCACCATCTCTGGACTTTCCAGTGTCCTAGATTGAAGAACACAGAGAGATCTGGTCCCTTGGAACTGGAAGGACCTTGAGCAGCAGTGAGGGGATATTCTGAATCAGAGATGGAGACAGACCTATCTCACTCACTTCTGGATGGGAAATGGCATTTTTTTTTTTCCTATTTTTTGTAGTTCTTGAAAACCGAGGAGAAACCCTTTGTCAAGGACAATAACCCTCCCACCTGCCCCTCAGCTGCTGGGAAAAGAGACTTTTAGGTGCAGTGCAAATCCTTAAAGTTCAGTGACATTTAAAACACTAAGGAGTTTCACACTGACTCAAATGTGCTTCTTAAATACCACAAAAATTTCTGACCCTGTCAGGGTCAGAAAGTGACCTCTCACTATCTACATGCTTGAACTTCTCTCTCTGTCACATGCAAGGTCAGTTTATTTTAAAGGTTCTAATCACTAGAAGGGAGGTAAGAGCTCATCTTTCCTGATCCTGCAACCTTGTACACAGGAAACATGTCCCTTCCCATTTGAAGAGCTGCTCTGTATCAGACTCTGCAACTGAGCTTTTGTGCAAGAGGGACACATTGCTGAATCATGCCTTTTTCTTCTCTGTCACTAGCAGAGACACCACTAGACACCACTAACACTTTGTGACAGAGACTCTCTCTTTATAGCACGTTTATATGGTTCCCACACAATATGACTGTGACCAGAGTTTGATACCTGATGCCATATAGTAATAAACATTGTAATGATGGAGCAGCAACAAAACTGATGCTATAAAAAGCATTGTCAAATGCATTGAACCATAATACAAGCAAAGAGCGATCACCTCTGATCTATTCACCTTAGAATAGGACTACAACAACTGCGGGGGAACTGTTTTCAAACTGTAGTTTTGAACAAACAGGCAGACAAAACCTATCACTGCTGCACTTCTGGGCCTTAGCCTGAAGCTCTTTTCACTCACATTTGCTATCAGGTCCCAGTCAAAACACAACTGCATTCTAATTGCTGAAAACAAGTATTAACATGTAACCTGTCATTAGGGACCTATGAATCAGTCCAGGAAAATGAGATTGCTTTTCCATCCAATTGCCAAGCACAAATGGTGTCATAGTTCTCTCTCAATATAGAGAAACATTATTTATGTAAAGGTCATATGAAGGAAGTCACAAATTCTGGTTTCTTTATTGTCTCTAATACAGACAATTTGCATCTCAGAAAAAAAAAAAAAAAAAAAAAAAAAAAAAAGCAGCTTACAATTCTTTGCTACTTCAACATTCCTTTCAGCAAAGCCGACACAGTAACATTGCAGGAACAGCCTGTAACACTTCATGACATGCTGGGGAAGCACTTGGGAACCTCTAAATAGAAGGTAAGAGGCTTCTCTTCTTTTCCAGGCAGGGAACAGGAAAAGGATGACAAGTACTGCCCTCCCAAGTGCACATTTTTGCGAAGCACAGAGAGGCTGCAGGAGGGTACAAAAGGCCTCAGGAGGGAAGCTGGCTCCTTGGCTGAACAGGCAGTGAGCCTCACCATCGTGACCACCCTCCAGGTTCCCCCAGCTCTGCTCCAAAAGCTCCAGCATGACACCAGATTTTCAGTGGTGCAAGGAGCTGAAGAAGCTTTCTTCCTGAGTTCAATGCCCTTGCAGCCAACCTACTTCTTGCACAGCTGTCACTCTGCACCCAGAGCACACCCTTTTGAGATCACTAACTATCCGCCTCTTCCTTCCTGCTCCAGCCTGGCTATGGCCTGATTTTCAACACAAATAGCTTCTTAAAGAAAGAGATGGCTCCGATTTGGACAAAAAGCCCATTAGCAAGTCCAAGTGCAGTTGCTTTACTTCTTTCAGCCATCAGCCCATTCAGCAGCTTTCCCTTCACAGCCAATGTTCTAGCTCAGAAGGACTGTCTATCTGCATTTTCCCCTCTGCCCTTCTGAATTTGGGCTGTTGCCTAGAGGTCTCTTCAAAAGTTCTTTAAATCACATATACAACAATAAAGCCCAAACACCCTCAGGACTAACCAGGCCATTTAGAAAAGTATTACAGGGTTTACTGTTTGAATATTACTGGATTAATGCCACTTCGGAGCAGGACATTTCAAAAACCTTCTTACCAGTTCTGTGCTATTAATTAAACATAACCATTCACTTTACTAATGTAAACTGCACTATAACCTGTGTATCTTGTGCTTACACAGTGTGCAGAAGTGTGGGGTTTCATTTTTGTACCAAGTGCTTATGAAAACTGTTTTACAGAATTGAATTCTCACTCTCTAAAGAGCTTTTAACAAGGCATTTTGATACAAACAAGGATGCTGCAGTTTCTTTTCTCCACCCCTACAAGCAAGTTTTATACACTCCTTAGTGCCAAGCTTGAATGTACTCATGTCAAGATGACACCTGAAGAAACAGAAAAAAGGAAACGCAAAAATAAAGAGCAGATACACATACCAACCATCACCACATATATAAACTGTTAACATTTGGATTCTTCTTTCTGAGGAGAAATTAAACCTTTTCCTTATGTCTAAAACTGGAAGCCATAACTACACCTTTGAAGACATCCTAGCAACACAGACACCTGTAAAATGAAGGACAGGCAGGGTTGAAAGCATTACGTTCTACAAAATGCAGGTGGTGATTTAGAAACACAGACTGAAATCTTAGACATATGGTTAAATTTAACAAACTAGCAAGAACTATACACGGACAATTTGCCATCTTCCTGAGCATGAAGAGAGACTGTGCTCCTGTTGCTGTGATAGCTTAGATAAGACTATGACCAGGTTCCCCTGACATTCTACAAAAGTGCAGTGGTAGTTTTGAACAAACCCAGAGTTTTCAGTTCAGGTAAGTTTTCCAGCACTGCCATGCTGGTTTGAGGGAAGAGCAGCTCTGTCAAACAGTATCAGCTCAAGGAGCCCCAGTCATCTTCCTGAGCTCCCACACAGTTCAGCTGAGTCACAGCTAGTCACAATAAGCTGTGGGCAGGATTTTTTATGTGAACTTAACTTCTAAACGACAAACCCAAGAAACATGCCTCTAGTCCCAGTTTTTCATGAAACCAGATCAGTGATCTAATGTACAACACACAGTAGCTTTTGCATAACAGTGAGGGGGTGCCCACGTGTGTGGTCAAGAAACACAGCTTGGAACAGGAGCTGTGTAGTAGGAAACTGTTTCATTGCTGGAGCTCAGCAAAACTGAGCCATTTACTGAAGTATTGCCTAAAAGCAGACGAATCAAGTATTAAGAGTTATTCATTGGGAGATCACCAAAAACAGGTGATGGAAGGCAACAACCCTAGAGCTCTAACCTCTAGTGATTTACAATATTCTTCTGGAGATCTGAAAAACCTGGAAAGGGAGCTGTGCTATGGAGGGTGCTCTGTCCATGGGGGAACAAAAGGACAGATGCCAGAAGCCACTCCAGAATGCCCTGCTAATTCAGGGTCTGGGAGTGGAAGTAGGCCTGAACTCTAAATTCTGGGATAATGGCCTAACTCAGGTTAGCAAGCACCTCCAAAACAAAAAAAAAATTCTAATCTCCAGCTTGGAAGGCCAGCTCTGTGAAATTTTTCCCCGTGAAGAATTTTTTTACAGAAAAAAAAAAAAAAGAGACTAAAAAGCGACACAGTATCTTCTAATTGCTTTTACATTGATTCGGTGTTGTGTAAGCAAGGAAGGATTGCAGGAACCCTCATACCTTAATGGTCTGATCTATACAGGAAATATATCTGAGTCTAAGGACTCCAGGGAGCAGCGAGTGATTTTCTGGACTCTGAAATTGTAACAATAGACAGAAGATATCCATGGGCACAGGCATGAAACAGGCCGAGGACAGGAAGTAATGACTTCTTTGTGACTTTCTCTTTAAAGTACACAAGCAGGCTATTACACTTGCTGTCTGCTCCCTACATAGGAGATTTAGTCCCCCTACACATGCTTTTTACATTTATTTCAAACTTCAGCAATTCCTGCTAGTTTCAACCAGTTGTGGTGCTTGGATTAGATCTGCTACAGGCTCAGTTCTCACCTACTGCACATGCTACATTAAAACAGCATCTGACATTGCAAGCAACTTTTACTTACTGGCAGCAATGCCAGAGTGTGAACTCTTATTCGATAGACAATCAGTTTTATAATCTCTGTGCTATCTTCCTCACAGGAAGGCTTCCCATTTTTAAAACATAAATGAGACCCTACAGTCCTAGGGGTCCTCAACAGGTAGTATCAATATATAGGAACTTAAATATAGCTTTACTTACTTTTCTATCTGGGCAAAAAAACCCCTCTCGCTTCAGGCATAAGTGAGTAAATGTACAACTTTTGCTTTCATTCCTCTTTGCACATGGCTGTTCACAAAAATGCTGAATCCTACAAATAAGCCTTGGAATCTAAATTCGCACTAATGCACAGACAGTAACATCTTTTGCTGCAGAGCAGCTCTTCCGGTCGTTTTTTATCCAAGGCTTGATGGCAAAAGGAAGCTTAGAAAATGATTCTTTGATCTCCTCCCTTCCCTATGCTACAAAAAGAAGAAAACAACAACAACAAAAAAAAGAGCTATCACTATAGTTTTGGACATTTTGTCCTTTATTACATTGTGATAATTTGCACTACATCTATTAATTCAATGTTAACAATCTTTATCTGTTTCTAGATCTGTTCATAAGGGATAAAGACATCCTTTGTGTTAGAACACTGAAGGAATTGAAATTATCAAGGTTTTTGTCTTCACACACCAGCACTGCCAGTCAGTTGAGCTGCAGCAAGAAGCATGTGTCTTTTTGCAATAGCAGCCCAGCAAGCAGGCTAATCCAAACACACATCTCCCAAAGAAAGA